TTAGTGAATTTACCTAGTAATTTACCTAGTAATTTAAAATAATTTTTTTTTTTAATCAAAAAAAACATTTGTGTTCTCCACACATCTCTATAATAAAACATGCAAAAAATGATGATATTCCCAAATATCGAATCATTTCCAATATATTGTCGTATCGATAGTACATACTTCGATTCATATTGATAAGAAATATCGATAATCTATGCTTCTTCGTTCTAACGTTCCTCCGAACTAACGTTCCTATTAGATATTATGATTATATTAGGCAGTATGTCGAAAATAGAATCTTGGAACATCTTATTAAATAACCATAAAAAAGAATTATATTGAAAGAAGTCTAATCATATACATGTAAACTTTAATTTCTTCACCACAAAAAGATATACAATAATTTGCAACAATTGTTCCAAAAGTAATGCATTAATAAAAATTGCTCTCTAACATTTAAAAGAAAAATTATTTACTTATTATTTACTTATGAAAAATTACTTACCCATCTTAAAAATGTATAAGAAAGGAAATGTGTAAGATGGAAGAATATTTCTGTGTTATATTCTGTTAAATTTTTTGAAGAAATGTAATGTGTATAGGAGTATAACTTGTTTATAATGTTAAATGCTTATAGAATTCAAAATTCAAATATGACTGAAAGTGCAACGTAAATAGAGAAAGATAATTGTTCCACATCTACGTATTTAAAATTTAAAATAGCATGTCATATTTGGTTTCTTTTTATTACTTATTTAGTTGTTCAAAAAATGTATTTATCCAATAACGAAATTAATAAATAAAACTATATTAACCAATTTATAGATAAAAAAAAGATAGGTAGAAATTTGCGTCTAACTTTCAATACATATCTTGTATTACAAAAACATTAAAATGTTTTTTAAATTATTAAAAAATTATTTTTACATTATAAAAACCATTAATGATACATGCGAGTAATGATGCTTGAACATTGCCACTGAGATATAAAGTATGGACAATAAAGTACAATTATTTATACACATTAATTGATTATATCAATCTAAACATTCTGAATTACTCTAAACAATCAATGATTCCTAGTCACTTGATCCCTGGGCACTTCATGGTATATTACAATTTTATTTCTAATATGGAAATGACAATAATTTCGCAGTCTAAGACTGAAAAAGAAAACACGCGCGTATATGAAATTATATTTTTCCAATAACAGAACTGTAATGTAAATACAGTATAATTTATTTTATATTTATAATGTTTTATAAACATATTTTATAAACATATTTTATATAAATATAGATTGTTTATCAAGTATTAAATGCAGCATAAATGATAATTTTGGAATCTAAATAAATAAAATTTTCATTAAAAATTTGAGAAGTGAATTTAAATTTAAAATTAAACTAAATATAACACGCATACATTTATATACTGTACTGAATAATGCATTTAAATTCAAACTGAATAATACATTCTTAATACACGAATAATTGGAGGAAGTGATAAACGAAAATAATGAATAGTTTAACCCTTATCCAGCGAGAAATGACTCATCGAATTGACATCGAGTCAATGAAATTCCATCGAATCGAAATATTCGAAATTTGAAATTCATTTCGATGTACTTCATAAAAATAATAAACATTCTTTTAAAAAAATGAATATATTCATCATCAGATTTTTAAATAATCAAATGTGTTAATAAAATATTTATTAGGACATCGATATTTCATTTTGATATCGGTTCGCAGTTATTTCGATTCGTTCCGAAAACAAAATTTTTTAAAATAAAATTATTATTATTGTATATTAATTATTATCTTTTATTATTAAGACAAAGATTTTCTTTCGTCTTAATAATAAGATATAACAGTTGTATTATAATAATGTATTATAATAATAATAATTTTATTTTAAACATTTCTTATACAAATAATGTACAAGAACTTTTATGTACAAATAATGAATATAACAATTAAAATAAAATAATTAAGGTAAGAAAATAATCGTTATGACATGTACATATAAATTCTTATATTTATTAAATAAATAAAAATCGACCGAATTAATGTAACAATATAATATAATAGAGAGCGCCTATAGATTGGTAAAAGTTGGAAGTTACGAATAATATAATATTCTAAGTTTATGAATTTAATTAATCTCAAATGTAAATGTGCGCCGAAACGTTCGGACAATCGCGAATATATATAATCCCTTCCTTTACTTAAAATAAGAAACCTTTTATCTTTTATAATTATCTATATAAATTAATGTATAAAATTATGCTCAAATGATAAAGTCCTTATCCGCGGCCGCTAATACAATTTTTTATTCATAAATTTCATTTTTTATAATGGTTAAAAGTGTCATATGTATATAAAAAGTGAATCTCAAACTTCGAATTGATATCAAAATGATGAAATCGATGATTGGCACGATTACGATAACTTTGGCCCTCAAAATAAAAAGCATTTTTCAAAAGCATTTTTAGTACACAAAAAAAAAGTTTCAACCAACAGATATCAAAATAACTGATAATTACAAACTAAAAAAAATCCTCGCTTCGCGTGGAAAGTGCAAAAATCGAATTATCAAATTAAATATTAATTATAGAATTTTTAAATTATTTTTCCTGTGTTCCTTACT